ACGGACTAGCTACCATCCCTTGGGCCCTTTCATGCTGTGTTTCCTTCTCCATCCTTTTGCTATTGCCCTCTGCTCCCCCCAGTACATGTACTGCACCATCTACAGATATCAAAACTCTACACATTTAAGACCTTTCTCAAACTCCTTCTGATATTTTTCCTTAGATGACTTGTACCTTTTAAGGAAGGCACTAATCTTAGGGTACCTTGTACTTGAATTGCTTCTAGGTCTTCTCTCCAATAGGTTATGAGCTTCTATTGTTCAGGGACTGAGCATCCCTTATCTTTATACCTACTGCAGCACCTAGCACAGTGCCTTGTGCATAGAAGTGGTTTATGAAGAGATTGAAAAGAAAAAAATGGAGGCTGACATGAGTAAACTTGGTTGTTTAAGAAGACATACACCATTATGGGAATTCTGGAATTACACAATATCTATCACAAAGTAGGTGCTCAAAAAGGTTTTTTAGTGAATGAGTCTTGAAGACCTTTTGCATGAGAATATAAGAAAATACAGGCAGTATTATTTCTGGTAGAAATTATCTCTCAGATTATTAATAATACAGGTAGTATGATCTTGATAGAAATAAGCATCGTACCACCTGGATGGATAGAGGATATGGTTGATTCTTTTCTAGTATCCGGCATATGCAGTTTTCCAGTTAGTATCCTGAGTTTGAGTCACAGTTAAAAATCTTACCATCTGTGTCATCGTGAATACATCTCTGAATCTCTCTTAGCCCCAGTTTACCATCTCTAAGGTGGGGATGATAATAACTACCTCACAGGTTGATGGCAAGAACTGAATTATATAAAGTATAATCACTTTCTTTAGACTATGAAGCTCAATAAAAATTTCAGGCTCTTAAAAAGTGTAAGATAGAGAGATAGATAAGGAGATGGATATCTGTTATTTAGGCAGCCATCTTCCAAAGATGATGGTTTAGTGAACTCTTTGCTTGCCTTGATGACAGCTTGCCTTTCAGAAAAAGAAATCGAGAAGAACTGCATCTTTAGGCTTAATTTGATTGTCACAGAACAACTTGGTGCTGAGGAAATGAAGTAAACCCTAAGAATTTGCTGTAATGAGTAGAGAGAGTCAGCCAAACTCCTTAGCCTAAGGACAGGAGATGTCAAATAGTTCACAGTAATGGTTTTGAAGCTTCAGGCTAAAGAGAAATAGAATGTAAGAGAGATAGGAGAGCTTAAAAATTAAAATTCTGGATCCAATGATGAGTGAGAAAAAATGAGGGTCCCTAAACATTAATATAATATTTACAGAGCCTTTACAATGTACCTGATCTGTGCTAAAGGCTCAACACTCATCTTCCCTTTTAACTTTCACAATATTCTTATGAGGTGTCCTTGAATGAGCTCAGTTTTAAAGTGGTCATATGAAGAAGATGGAAAAAATTTTAAAATATTGTGCAAAACTATAATCATTAGGACAGAAAAGTGGAAACCTAATTGAGTCAAAGTTAGTGATTCACATGTAAGATAATAAAAGGGGTGTCTTTAGCTATGTTCAGAATAAGGAAGAATAAGGAATCTACTGCCTGGATTAAATAATACAAGATTAACAGGTGATTGAGATAAGTCAGAAATGGTCAGCTCTTTTTTCCCTCTTACCTATCAAGGAAAATATTCTTCAAATTGTCAAAAATGGTTAAAAGAAAACAAAAACTCAAGCTAGGTGAGGAGATAGCTGAAAAACACCCAGTCTTTTTAGTGAGTTTAATTATCCATGTCCAGGTAATTATATATTGGGGCACTCAATAAAGTGATAGTGAAGCTACTGTTGGTAATATTTAAGAATCACAGAGAACAGAATTTTTAGTGAGTTTAATTATCCATGTCCAGGTAATTATATATTGGAGCACTCAATAAAGTGATAGTGAAGCTACTGTTGGTAATATTTAAGAATCACAGAGAACAGAAAGGTCCTAAAATACTGGGATTAGGCAAATGTTTCCATTTTTATAAAGAAGGGACAGGTGGATTCTAAAAACCACGGGCCAGCGAAATTTAGGA